TATGTGTTTTTGGTGTTTTCTGGGTTTGACGCAGCTCTAACCACAAAGGAACGGCTGCTTGAGCGTTTTGCAGGTTCTTCTCACCAGAAAACACCAACAAGTCGTGACTGAACTTTAAATTCTCGCTCTCATCTTGGTCGAGGTCATACCTCACATTAAGACCTTTTTGGATCTCTCTGCCTCTAAATTTAGGAAATGTCTGGCCAGATTTCACATTTTGCTGTCACGGTGGGACAGACAGCCCTTCTCCTCAGACAGACAGACAGCGGCGAGGGTCGGCCTCAGTCTGCCGTTTGTCTCAGGCTGAATGAACTTGTTCTCTTTGCAGTTCGAAAGAGAGAAATTACGTTTCTCATGGTAATCAGCAGGTCAAGTGCTCCCCGCTGTGCTGTCCATTCAACAAAGTGTGAAGGAGGAGGAGGAGGAGGGGAAGCACCGTTTCTCCTCTCTCCCACACACTGAGGATGTTCTTGTGAACTCCTGTACATCTCCAGGCACAACGCAGAGTTTGATATCTCAGTTCGATCATTCGCCCTGTCTCTGTTTCTTCACCTCCTTTGGTGTTTTTTTAGGTTTGTGTGCTTATGCCTCTGCCAGTATAACCTCTTTATAACAGCCTCTCACACATATGCCCTCCTGCTCTTGCCCTGGCTTTGACTGAATAGCTCGTTCCCCTGGAGACGGTGGTAGTTTCTGGTTGGTTGGCTTAGGGAGCCTCCTGCCATCCCTCGGCCCCACGGGGAGACAGAGAAACACTGTTCTGAGTATTTCTTGTGGTATTTAAAAAAATCTTTTGACTGTTTAGCAGACTGTTAGTTAGACTGAAAGTGAAAACACAACAATACGAGCATGTGATTGTCAGAAGAGGACTCTCCCGTCCCCTTTGTGGAGCTGTTGTGGTGGAAACTCATCGAAGTATTTTAATGAAAATCATGCATGCAGCTCGAGAGGCTGCATCATGGAGCCATCAGTTGTTGCCCTTTTCAGTTCCTCTCAGCGTCTCTGCTCTTTCTGCAGGCACGCTGCCTATTAATGGGAAATTAGATTATTATTCACTTAGGGGTGGCCGATCAGGCCACAAGATCATATCTCTCGGGGTGGAATCGGGATATATCTAAATCAATCCACCCACAGATTTAGTTCAGCTCATGTGATCAGACTCGAGGCAAATTTCTCTGCTTTCTCTTTTCACTTTATTGGAGTTTTCATGACTTTCTTTGTTGGGTTTTGGGTCTGCTGTGCTGTTCTGTTTACAACAACAGTTACTCCTCCGAGATGTGCAGAGTCTCCTAAGTGTTTTACAACCATCTGTG